GCTTACATTCGTCTTGACAGCGTGAATAACATAGGCTACACAAAGCACTTTAAACTTCATTGCGGCAGATACCAGGCATAATTTTCGTCATTTTTCATCTAAAATGATTGACAAATATTCTTGTATGAGGTATGTGTCAATTCGTCTTGCTATTAATCAAATTAAGGCTAAATATGGTTACTAAAAACTCAATATGGCGGCCAGTAGATTCTTTTTATTAATTCGTTTTACACAGCTCAGTTTCTAATCCCAAAGGCGGCGCGTAATTGTTTTAAAAAAGCTTATTCTTGTTCCGTCTCAAATTCCATTTCAATCAGACGGATATCCAACCCCGAAACCATTGGTGGAAGGTGAACTGTCTGACCGCTACAAATCGAGACGCCCGTAGTGGGCATTTTTCTTATTCAAAATATATTTTTCTTGGTCTTGCTAGAAGAAATTTTAACAGTGACGTGAACAAAACATTTTAACAACTTAATAAGACAGAATCGGCGGCTTCATTCAATTCTTTCAAGAAGCCACTGTTCGTTCACATTTCTTTGAAGAAACAATTGACAGGAAATTGATCTGCCTGAGAAATCAAAACCTAGAGCACGCGATCACGCAAGCAAAGATTGTCCTAAATAAATTGACTGTGAAAACTTTTATTTTCTCCCTTTGGATTGAAAGAAAATATTTTTGCGTGCAATTTTGAAGGTTTGGTATTTAGAAACTTCTCTACACACTAACAACAGTTCAATTCTTACTAAATATATTATTATAATGGACATGAATGGAATAAAAGAACATAGTGAGCCAGGAATTAAGCTCACAAAAATGGATTATTGGCGAAAGGGTTGAAGGCTGTCAATTTAAGATCTAATACAAATAAAGGAATCAGATAGGCATTGGCTCCGATGTAGTTGATACCATAGAATTTAAACGCTTACAGTAGTGTAGACCATGCCACAGATAACGTTATACACATCATGGAACAGATATCAACGGTCGATTACAGAAGAAATTTGTCAGAGTCTAGACTTTTGTAAAACCAAGAAAAAAGAGGAAAACTGAAGCAACAAAGCAACGAACAGAAGAGAATCAGCACCACTCTGCTTAAAGAGTACATGTAAAACACAGAAACAAATTATTAGAGAATCCAATTCCAACCCTTTTCTAAAGTTAAGAAATGCTGTAAAGCAAAAGCGTCATGGAAAGCTATTTAAAGACGTGGTCCTTCACGTCCACGCGCCAGTACACAAATCCCGGGAATCAATTGCTGCAATTAAGGGCCGTGGCATTGAAGCATTAAACCACCTCCCTTGTAGCCCACCCAGATTTTTCTCCCCGGTGAATACTTTCTGTTCAGACATCTAAAAACAAAAACAAACAAACAAAAAACTGCGTCGCATCCAATTTGTCCAATGAGCAATGAAGAGTGCTGTAAATAAGTATGTTGAAGGAAAGAAAAAAATGAAATATCCGCTTTGACTAATAACTACTTTTAAATGGAAAAGAATTATATTTTAAAAAAATAATAGAATTTTCAATCTACCTAATTATTTTTTACTCAGGTAGAAAACGAATCTAGAGTCCCTCGTATGTCATGAATAACCATGATTAATGTGTCCAAAATTGTATTGGCATCTCTCTGAAATCAAAGGGGATTATTTGACGTCATTCGCGTGGATCTATATTGATAACGGCATCAACGCGTTTGCATCGGAACCATGTAACGATTACAACATCCGTAAAATTAAGCAGAGTGGATTTAAACATTAACCGTAATGCATATCGCTAGGGAGATTGACTAGGTTAGATGATAAACTTTTTTCTTTAACTACTAACGATATCCGATGCTTATTATATTTAATTAATTAATGTAGTATTTTAATGAATAATATTCTACACATTAGTGTTAATGTAATTTGTTAAGAAATTGAAGTGTGGAAAACTGATGTAAAGAAAGTAAGTAGCCTGCATCATACTCCAAAACTTGGAATTTCGGGCAAAATGTTATTTAAAATGATAAAATACTAAAGAAAACTAATAAATCTAATACAGTAAATAGAGTTTACTTATTTTATGTTCTGCTCAAGGCATCTGATGTCCATAAAACCAAGAGCAAAACCAGTAATGTGGCAAATAATATGAATGAAAGAAAACTTTTTTTAAACTTATTCCTGCTTGGGCAGTTCGTTTTCAGCGGCCTGGTACGATTATTTACATTTTCTTTGACATTTGATTTAAAAAGGACGTCACATTTGAGGAAAGTGACATCGAATGAATGATAGTTTTGGGAAAGGGTCAAAAATTGTCGTGTAAGTTTTAGTTTTAGGCGTTTACATTGAGAAGTTTGTAAGTTTTGAAATGTGGGCCTGAATGGATCTGTTAAATTTTGGGATAAAAGTGACAGAATAAGAGGAAGCAATGAACGAAGATTAGATTAATGCCCAGTTTATTGTGTATTTGGGCATTTGATATAAACCAGGGAGCTTTTTAAGGGTACGAAGAAATTTGTTTAGAAAATTTGGATTTTTAGAATAATGTGTTTCCTAACAAATAGGAGTATCCTAGGGAGGATTGAACGGATAATTGATTGGTAGAGGTGAACAGCTGCATGTAATCGGATTGTCTTCTTGAGTATATAGTATAACTGAGCAGTTCAACGGGTAGCCAGAATTATGCGGTGAAGGATATTTAGTTTCTAATTGAGCTTAATGTCAAGTAGTACACCAAGATTCTTTACTAGTTTGTTGGGTAGGAAACAAGCAATAGTTAGTCCTTGATATATGAGTGGAGGTAGATTATTTAGAGAAGAAATATTTGGGAATGATAATTCAGATATCCACATTCCCAGGTAGGGCCGCCCGAACATTTCATAGACCCCTAGACAAAATGTTTGTGAGCTCTCCCCCCAAAGAGTATTTTAATTATCACAAATATTCTTTCTTCGGAACGGAACGTTGTTTGTTAGTAAATTTTGCACGCGATCAGAAAATAAATGTTGCCTGTATTATCAAAGATTTATTAACTAGTGATTGAATGAATTTGAATTCTCACAAACATTTTTGATTGACTGATTAGTTATTCCTGGCGCGTCAACTGCTAAGGCCATTAGTCCCGCAAGCGTAGTGCGTATTTTATCTCTGGAGGTGGCGGTGATCTTGTCCCGCTGGATGGCGAGATCCGGCGCCAACGTACATCGGCATGGGGATTTTCCCCGAACAAGTTAGCGTACCCACCTTTAGTGTTGAATATTTCAATGTTGCGCATCGTTTCAAAATTTTCGAATTTGGGTATAAATTAGTCTTTAATTAGAACAAACTTCTGGTACATTTAGTTTTTGTTTCATGCGTTTTTCTTGTGTGGGTATGCTAACAACGATAAGTTAGCGTACCCACATTTAGTGTTGAATATTTTGATGTTGTGCATTAGTAGAAAATTTTTAAATTTGGGTATAAATTAGTCCTTAATTAGAACAAAATTCTGGGATACAGTTCTTCAATTTTGTGATAGGTGGGTATGCTAACTTTACGGACATCTCTAAACTGGCGACGGGTCTCTCGGCACGTGTGGTATGGTAGTCTACATATGTGTAGGGGTGTGTAAGTAAGGGGTGAGGATATGATAGGGAAGAGGAAGGAAAGATCGTGGGCGATCCGTAGCTCGTTTGTAAGGGTACTGCTCCGGCATTTTCCTGGTGTTGATCGGAGAAAGCACGGAAAACTACCAATCAGAGCAGCCGGCCGTTAGAATTCTTCTGCAGACGGCGGCTGAATTCGACCTAGCTTGTTATGAAGATAGTGTTGAAAATCCTGCCACCATCGAGAGTAAAACCCTGACCACCCGTCACAGACCTGCAGTGACATCAATAAGATGTCTTGAGATACTGTACTGTTATACCAACATGTAAGATGCCTTGACGGTGAAAGAGTGATGAATAAATGATTGGATAAATGAACGATTGATTCCATAAATGAATGAATGATCAAAAGAATGAGTGAACGAACTAATGAATGAGTAACGGTGAGCTGGTGGGCGTTGCAGCTTAATGTAGAGACATGTTTTTAAAACATCAATATTATAACATCAGTGTTTTGCTTTCGATGTTTTATTCAGATCAATACTTTTGTTCAGAAACATCGAAAACAATTTCTCATTATATAAATAAAATTTCCAGTATCTATTTTTTTTCTTTTTTGAGGAATGCAATCAACAGTCATTCACAACTGTCACCGTGGTCGATCTCGAGACGGCACGAAACCATTTGCTATTCACAAGCTCTCTCCAGTGGTATTCCCTTTCTTGATTATCTTTAACATGATAAAATCGTTTAACTGCATTTGGAACCTTCATACACAGAACATTGATTAGAAAATTAAAATGACAGTCAAATTTAAGGCAGAATATACATTACACTAATGTTGACGTGTTCTGTATCACATTAGAACCAGGACATTTTACTTCGATATGTTTCGTCCCATTTAAAACAAAGTTGTTTCTTGTCGAAAATTGTTTGTTGATGTATGGATGTTTTGCTGAAATGTAGGTTCGTGGACGACATGCGCTGGGTGCTGAGCCCCGTGCTGCTGGGCGAGAGTCTGGTGATGACGGTTGTGCTCTGCATGATCACCCTGCACGCCACCTCGGTGAGTGCAAACACCTACCGCACTGACTTTTTTCATGTTTTTTTTATTTATTTTTTAATTGAATGGCTTTTTTCAACCGACAGCTGCTTACCCTGTACGTCCTGATTGGACGCATATTTGACCATACACTAGACACCAACACTCGCGGGCTCCTCTGGACTCGGGTCAGCAGAACGCGAGGCCCTCCGCGACAACACAAACATGAGAGAAAAGGGACAAACAACCATGCCTAAGGCGGGACTCGAACCCACGACCCTTTGGAGCGAACCGCTGAGTCAGAATTCCTTCTTAGCCACCTTGATCATATTGCAGTATGATTTCTAAACTTCTATAGCGTTCAACATAGAAGAATTTTAATGTTGGTCCCAAATGTTTGGGTGTGTTGTAGCGGTCTGGTCAGTAAGTGGTTTGCAGTTGTCTAAGGAAAAGAAAACTAGATTAGTGGGACTCCTTCGTCGTGGGCTAATGTGTTATTTTTTTAAGTGTTTACAGTTATCAGGTTCACAATAGCCATAAAATATAAATATAATGCGGTTATCTGGTTCGTCTGTCCTTAAGCATAGAAAAATACTAGAAAAAATACCCTCTTCTTTGATATTCATGTATCATAAAAAAATAGGTTCAATTATCTTCAGTTTGGTGAATGAAGTCTTAACGGTTCGGGTTATGTCGAAACAAATCGGGTAGTAATTCACAGAGTTTGTCCACAGTATGTTCTTTGACCACCCGACACTATCTTACCAAAATACAAGTTTTTAAAAATTATTCCAGAATATTAACCCATGGACGCAATTGGAAAATTGCAGAAAAACACTTTCTTCGAGAATCGATGCCTCTGAAGCCAAATGCTAAACTCTCATAAATCCGGCATTCAGTATTCCGGCCCACAGCCGGACTCTAAGTGCTCAAGCAGAAATGACGCGCAAATTAATTATATTGTGCAACAATATGCTGTTAGTTAAAAATGTTAAACAATGCTATACATATTTGAAATGGTGAAATGTTTACGTACAATTTAGTTCTATGGCTTCTAAATGGAAGAAACGTTAGACCTCAAGCAGAATCTCAAAATTGTAGATAAGTTGAACCGATTTTTTGCAGTAAGCCATTGCTGGTGAGGACAGTATTGAATGAGCAACAAACTGTAAATGAACAGTATCGTTGGATGTAATAAATTGTATAGCATCTATGTGTTTAAACTGATTTCAAACCCCTTTCAATAGTCCGCTAGTAGCACTTCCGCTAATCTGGCACCCATTTGTGCAAGGAATGGCCAGATTAGCGAGAGTCTAGTGTATTTGCTTGTATGATTCGAGGGTCACGGTAATGTGTGTTTTGCATGAAATGATGCACCCTTCTTCATATTTAGAGTAGAAAAACTGTTTGGAAGTGCTTCAAAATCGGAACAGAAATGTTTGGTTTTAAAACTCGGAAGTAGAAACATTATTTAAAACAGTTTGAAGCCCTAGATTTAAAAAAAAAAACTTTGAAAATTGATAGTAAAACTATTGGATAAAGTTTTAAGATAGGAAATTATTTGTTTTGCAGGTACCCGTCAACAGTGTGGCCTTCGTTTCGTATCTTACTTTTTATCTCATCGAAATGGGCCAGCTTTTACTTTATTGCTGGTTTTGCAGTGACATCAAAGATAAGGTAAATCACTATTCTAACATAAAACATTAAATGAAGTTTCATTTTGTGTTGCTGTTTCTGGTACAGTAGTAGTTCTTAAATTTATTTTAACATGAAGAAAGCTTAGGAATGATATTAAACTTGTAAATTCTATTCGTCCTATCCGCCGAGAGAATATTCGGGCTCTTGGTCCGCTTTTCTGAATTAGCGGTGTCCCATAATATACACCGTGCGTGACTTTAAATTTTAAAACAGGTTAACTAGGAAAATTGGGAAAGATATGGCGCGATAAAAACTATCGGAATTAAGTATATGTAAAAATTATAATGAAAACCATGGGGGGGGGGCTTGGTCTTCATTGGCTCTCGAGCTCCAAGGGCCTTTCAAATTCACGAGCCCCGGGCCCAAGAATGAGCTGCGCCCCTCTCCCCCCGGGCTCCTGGAACTTGCTCTAAGAGGAGTTGCTCTAACCGGGGCCTTTCAACAGATTCAGGTCGAAATCTGGCCTCATTCTGACATATATTCACTATTTCTAATGTGAAAAAATTAGCTGTCATCTCGCACTGAACGTTTCTCAAAAACAAAAATATGATTAAAATATAATTATCGATTGTCATACTATTTGCGACGAATCCCCGATAACTAACTGACAAAAAACAAAATAAATCCACAGATTTTTTACCGGGTTACAATGTTCCCCGAAATAAACTACTATTTTCCACCCAGCAATCTGTCAGATATAACAGGTAAGTAAGAGATCCTAGCGAGCAGTAACAGAACAAACGTGACGTTCGCGGTCACACTGGTCGCTGCATTTCTACGTCCGCTGGTTGTGCTCGGTGTTAGCGAAAAAAACCGACCAATAGTGATCAAATTCTTTATTTTTTCAGAAACATTCAGTGCAAGACGACGAAATTTTATTCTTATTTGGAAAAAAAAGAAAAGAAGTTATACTTCTAATGGAATATGTATGCTTTTCGAAAGTGAATCTGTCATTCATCTCAGTTTTGTTTTAAAGTCGGACTTCACTTAAAACTGGCTTTAAACATTTGTTAACCTATATCAGACAAATCTAGTTGGCTAAAGTCTAGTATACGGTACAACTGACGGAAGTCTTTTAAACTGGCACTTCGCGCCACTCAGGCGTCAACTGCGCAATTTGAATTCTGGAAGCTTTCTTGAAAAGTGTTTTCTTACAAAAGTGAGTTGGTAATTATGCGGTGGATAGACTTAAGGATGTTTATAGTGAACGCGAAGGCTAAAGGCCCGAGCCTCGCCGTGACGTGGATCGGGGCGTGCGAAGCGAGAAAACTTGCCTTTGAAAGTAAATTGGCGTTGCAATGCGGCGAGGGGAAAGCGTATGAAGGGCGAGCCATGAAAATCGCCTATCCGTAAGTTTTATTCATTTCTATCAGAGCGCGTAGCGTAATCTAAGGGAGGGCTTAAGGAGACCCCTCCCCGCCGCCACGCTCCTCTGAGGGTGTACCGTGTACCCTACTTTAACCATCTAGTTTTTGGTTGCAAACTTGAATATTTTTAGTTTCGACTAGGTAATGCCAGTTTTCATGAATCCATACTTCGTTTTCTTTACCAAATACTATTTTTAATTGATTTCGAATTTTGACCGTGACAGCTTCACGTAACGTCTAGAAATTATCGAGAATAACACCAATAGTTTTTGTTTTTTTTGTTTCTCAGAGTGAAGAAGTCTCCTCAGCAGTGTATGCAAGCGATTGGATTTCTGCGGATCCACCTATGAAGCATAACCTGTCTATTTTCATGATGCGAGCAGCGTCTCCTGTTAAGTTGGATGCAATGGGGTTTGTGAATGTCGATTTGGACCTATTCACATCCGTAAGTCATGAGGAAAACACTTGTAATCTATAAATTTGTGATGCAATGATCAGTTAGTACTATTTCAGTGATGTGGACATAGCTCCTTAGAAATATAGTTTCAAAATAATGAATCACTGTCAAACCAAGGACAGTTTAACATTGCACTCCCTCCTCCCCCAATTCATAAACAGCCAGCGTTTCTCCATGCATCAGAAATAACATATAGCGTTAAATTTGGATTAGACATGAATATTTATTTTTATTTGTTTTGAATGAAAAACAATTGAGTCAGGATCTGAGGTAAGCTGCCCCAGCTGTCTCCCTTTCTGCTTGTCCCAGATTTCATGTCATTTGAGGCAAGTAATAGACATATCAGTAAGTAAAGTAATTTTTGGAAATCATTTGATAGTGATTTCACACACAATGTATGGCCTTCAAGGTAAATTACATTCTCTAGTCACCCATCTGCCAATTTTATGGCCCATTTCGTTTTCGAAGTCCAAATACCAGATTAAATTTGCATACCAAAATAGGTAACATTGGGCAAAATATTTTTTGAAGTAGTATTTCCTTTTGTTTTTGACAGGTAATGCAAGCATCTTACTCTTTCTTCACTGTTCTTAGTCAGATGAAAGACACAGAAGGAGAGAAATGAGAGCACCTTTCAACAGTTCTGTTCTAGTCGTGAATGACACAGTAAGTTTTTTGGTATTTTAAGTTTTACTTAATTTCATAATTGGTCGACAGAGTATATCTCTGACACTGAAGAATCTATTTCCTTTAAAAAGGCATTTTACCAGAAGTGTACCTCCAGCCAGAATGTAAACCACTGTGAACTTAGTGATCTTAATTGCAGAAATGTTAAATGAAATCAGTGAGATATACCCTCGATATGTTCTTGGTCTAATAAAATGTGTTTGAGTCATTTTCTAAGTTCAGTAAAAAGGGTTGAAAACTATTCGATCAGGAGATTGTTGCAATAAATCAGCAAGGTCAAATGTGATTGTTATTTAAATTCATGCTCTTGTTAAGAGGTTCAGAGCTGAACATTATTTTGTGAAAAGTAAAAATATGAAAAAGGCAAGCAAAAGTAGTATCGTGAATGTTGCAGGATTGTAGATGGATATAAATTTCACATCTCATTGCAGTTAGTGTAATGGTTGAATGTATATATCCTAGCTTGAACTTGCAAGTATCAAAATTCAATTATCTTAGTAAACTAATGTAGAAATATATTATTACTTATTGATAAAAGTGTGTTCATTTTCAGAACATATGTATGTGAGTAAATATCACCAAAGAGGCACATGTTTTTTTGTTGGTTTTTTTGGTAAGAAATGAAGTGTTTTATATCCTGTCGTATATATCTTTCAAAACTTTAACTGTTATAGTACTTCCATGTTATAGTACATAACATGAATAAGTGAAAATCTGATTTACTGATATATAAATCCTTAGTATTTATTCTCTTCAAGTATTTGAACAAAGAAGATTACATTAGCTTTTAAGTGCAATGTTTTTTTCTGTAATTGTTGTTAATAACTGCTTGCCTGAAATTTCAACAGTGAATACAACATTGTTATATCTTTGAGCTTGTGATTAGTTATGTTTGTTTTTGCTCATTAAAAAACATGAGCTGCAGCTTGCAGAATTTTCTGAATGAGAAAATAAGTGTACTCAAATAATGCTATTACCCTGGAAGAGAATCAACTACAATTATTCAGGAGGCAGTGTTGAAAATTGAAATAAATAACATTTGGTAACTACCTGTGCAAGCTTAATAGCTATAGAAACTACAGAATTACCAATTTGTGAAGTGTATGGTGTTAAATGAAAATGTAAGCTGAGACTATAACTTGTTTTCACAGATACTAAAAATAGACTACCAATCTATTCTATAACAATCTATACAAATACCAATATATACAAATCTATAGAAGTACATGACTATCCTGAACAACTGTGTGTACAATATTTCAAGAGTCAATTTTTCATTTAAAGTGAATCGGAAAATCAAGTGAAATAAAATTGGAAGAAAATTCCAAAAGTTATGTTCATTAAGAATCATTAAAACCAAATTATGTTTTATTCTTTCTCATGAAACGTGAAAGTTGTGTAATTTTTTTGATAAGGGTTTTTCTTTCTCTGCACTCAGTGCAAGAATTAATACAAATAATAACAAATAGAAGGTAATAAAATTTCATTATATATTAAGTTCTACTTTATTTTTTGAGGATGAATTTGTGTAATTTTTCTTCACAAAGTTAGCTTTTTTTGTGATTGTTGTAATTGATTATGGAGCCTGTTCAATTGATGGAAAAATAAATTTCACTGTTTATCTCCTTGAATGAGAGGTTAGAAATAACATTGTAGTGACCACAGTAATCTGCACTGCTATTTCAATTAATGATTTCAAAAATATATTTATAAGATGTCAATATAAATCGATTCTATACAATAGTAATGTACAATAATAACAGATGAATTGATAAAATATTCACAAGCCTTGAGTATTGCATTTTTTTCAGAGCACCAAAAGTTAATGTTTAGAAAGTTTTGTATTAGAATTTACAATCATTCACTGACTTTTCCCTCTTATTGGCCATGGAGATATAATTTTTTGATTCATTTTTCCAAATCCTTTTCCCTCTTATTGAGTTCTATGGTGTAATTTTTAAATCCATGTTTGAAATTAATAAAACAACCATTTTAAACTTTTTCTTCAAAGTAGAAAACGTAACTATAAAGTTAAATGGGGACATCTCTAAATATATTCTTTAACATTTTCTGTTCTGTTAGCCAAAAATTGTTCAATAATGTGGATGCAGGTGTTTGGCGTTAGGAAACTTCTAAACATTGTTGTTACGTCAATGAAAAAGGTGCAATTTGGCAATTTTCTCCAGCATAACTTTTTCTCTGTGCAGGGATTTTAATTCAGGTTCCTAGGCTTTAGAATGTCATTTCCGTTGCCATTCACCTTCAGCCTCCTGACGCTTTAAAGAATGTTTGGTGCGAATTTAAAATTTTTAAACTGATATATTTTTCATTTTTTTCACTATTGTCCACATTGTTTAAAAATATATTTACAGAATGTTATGAGAGACATACTAGTAAAAAAACTTAGGCAGTACTTCAATGCTATCATGTCGAAAATCAATTTCAGAAATTAATTTATTTTCTATTTGAATTTGATGACAAAATTGGTTGACAAAAATACCTTCGAATTGAACTATTTTTTCCATCCCTAGAATTGTTCCCATCCTGATACCTGCAAAATGAACTTAGAAAAAATAATAAAATGGAAAAAAAAAACAGATTGCCTGAGGAGGCTGACTTTTTTGAAAACTACGGCATTTTTTATTCTCCTTCATATGAAGAATAGTGATTATTGATTTGATGTAGGGGTCACTTTTCACCTTCTTATTTGTCTATATTGGTTCTTTCCATGGAAAATTTTGAAGAATAAAAATTTAGAGCTGTTTTTGAATAAATATTTTTTTTTATAAATTGTCATTCAAGCAAAAATTATGCAAAAACTATTTGTTTATTTAAAATGTTCTACATAATCTTATTTAAAGATCGGATTTTTATAACAGATTTCATTAAGAAAAAAATAACTTTGTTATCAAAATTGTACTTAACTGCAGTGTTAATTTCTTTTTTGCAGTTTTCGAATACATAGAGTTTGCTGAAAATGGGTCCAGCATAACTTTCATTATCAGATTTTGTTCTATCCAAGGCACAAATTAAAGGAAAGAAATCAGAGCAAAAATTTTTTTTGTAAATAAATCTTCAAAATTTGTCAACTCTTCAGGCAAAAGTATGGGAAAACTTCATTTATTTTAGAAATTGCACAAAAACGTATTAAAATGTCAGTCTTTGAAAAAATATTGTAAAAAGAAAAAAATCTACATTCAGTACTGTAGTTGTATGAAGACGCCAAAAAAGGAAAGAAAAGTAATTTTTAAAATTCATAAACTAAACATCAACTAAAACGACTTGCACAATTTCTTAGGAGACTTTACGCTACCTGGGGAAAGAGTTGATTCAAAATTAGCCATTTTTTTAGAAAATTTTGAAAATATTGTTGAGACGTCATCCAAACTCATGTTAATAATCAATATCAAAACTCAGAATATCCGCTTCACTGTCGCAGAGATTCAAGTTCGTCCAGATTGGTCGGAGAATATCGTCTGATCGATATGTTATCTCGGACAAATTATTTTTTTTCTCCAAGACAATGTCATAGGGAATGCATGCCAAAACTTGAGAGAGAACGTTTTACAATAGGTACTTGACAACGATGTCCAAAGCAGGACATAGAACAAACCAATACCTGCGAGATAGTTTTTATCTATTAATTTGTTTTGCAGAACTTAACAATCACGTGACCAGTAGTGTGTGAAATATACAATAATACATTGCAATAGCGAAGCATTACCAGGTCCACTAGTCACTTACATGCAGAGAAAAGCCCAGAATAATCGTCGTAAAATAATATTTTAATATACAATAAATTCTTTTAGAAAATTACAAACCGTTACGTGAAAAGTAACTTGTCGCGCGTAGCCGGTCAGCGCGCGCAGGGGGCGTGGCAGTCGGGAAGCGCGTATGGCGCACGCGTGCGCAGAACCCGCGGCTCCACACCGCGCTGCAGCAGCTCGTGCAGCTCCCTGCAACGCACGCCACGTGAGATGCACTCTGTAGGAAGCATAAGCGAGGTCAGCGGCGCAGGGTGCGTGGCAGCAGGGGAGCACGTGTGGCTCGCGCGTGCACATAAGCCGATACCGATGATGATACAATTAAAACTACAATAGATGTATTTATTTATATAACGTCAAGAAATTAAAAAAGGTGTCACGTATGGGAGAGAAGTGCAGTTGGTGTACTTTTTCTTGAGCTCTGATATCTCCACCCTATACTCAGCTCTTATACTATATTTTGTTGATTTACGAATCCTTTTTTGAAGATTTTTTTTGAGGAGCAAAATTTCAGCGAGGTAAAGCGAGTGAATGAGTTCCGTCTTTCGGTGAGTTGAACGGCCGAGCCGCGGTGTTGAGGTGTGTGGGGTGTGGGTCGACCTGGAGACGTCGCTGGTGGGCAGCCGGAAGTTGGCTTCCGCGCACAGGAAGTGCGCGTTGCGCTGCAGGCACGGATCCACCAGGTCCCAGCCGTAGTCCATGCTGGTGGTGGGCGGGAACCAGAAGCGGTCGCGCGGCCCTGTCACAGCGCGCAGCACACACATTGGCTTGCAGCCTCACGGCCCCTTCACACGCGCACACAGCCCAGCGCTTCCGGTAAGCGGCCAGGGACTTCCCAAGGTACCTCCGCCGCCGCCCTCCTCCGTGGAAGGGGGTGGCGGTTTGGCCGACCCTTCGGCGACGACGTTCAAAGAAATGTGTCACGTAAAACGTTGCGGCGAGTGCCCCAGTGGGAAGATCTCCATTTAAAGCAATGCTTTGCTAGCGGCGGCGCGGAATCCCTCCCGAGCTGCTCCTGGCAAGCGTCCGCCGCCGAAAGACACTGCAGCCCGAAACCTGATCACGTGGGAAGAGCTCCATTTAAACCAATGCTCTGCTACCAGCAGTAATGTACGGTAGGGCGCTGCTGTGTCTACGTACGAATGGGTCGTTGGCGCTCGACTATAGGGAGTTGTAGGGTCTTTTCACAAGTAGACACAGGGTTGCCTTACCGTACATTACGGCTGGTAGCAGAGCATTGGTTTAAATGGAGCTCTTATTGGGGCACTCGCCGCGGCGTTTTACCT